ATTAATTAACTATTAATAAATGTAACGTAATTTTTTTTTTGGGGGGGGGAAGGGAGGGGGGCGGGGGTTAGATCAACGTTTCATCTTGTCTAATATGGGTAAAACTTGATCGAACGTCGGTCTTTTTCCCGGATCCTCATTCATGCATATTCGTATTAATTTGGCGAGGTGTGGCGATATTCCGGGAGGTATGGTTATCCTTAATCCTTCGACGGCAATTTTCATTCCTTGTTCCATCGGGGATAAATCCGCAAATGGTACTTCTCGCGTTGATAATTCCCACAGGAGTATAGCAAATGACCACATGTCGCAAGCTTCCCAATTCCTATCGCTGGGTTTCTTTTGTAGTGCTAAAAAAGAATAAATGTAAAATGGAGGAGGGCGGGGGGGGGTTGTAAAGCTCAACAATACATTTTAAATTTTATTTAAATACCTTCGGGAGACATCCAAGCGGGATAGTAGACTCTGGCACGTTCTTGAAATGTAAATTTAAAATCCGCCATATTTATTCTGGCTGTCAAATCTTCGTCTATCATGATGTGTCGGCTGTTTAAATTAAATTGCGGATTGAGTCTCTCCAGGCTATGAAGGTATGCCATTCCTCTGGCAGTGTCAACGGCGAATCTTAGAGCTTGTGCCATGTCGACGACGACGCCAGCTCCTTCGTGTAACAAAGTGTACAAAGATCCCCAAGGCATGTATTGATTTATGACAACTAAATTGGGAGGACTGTTGCAGCATCCGATGACTGGCAAAACGTTTGGATGTGAAAAAATTCTAAAAAAAAAAAAAATTTATTATCAGATAAAATAAAATAAAATGAAAAATAAAATAAATTCTTAAGCTTACCTCAATTTAGGGAATTCTTCATTGAAGTCACGTGATATACGTGGAGTACATTCTCTAACGGCTAATATTTTGGCGACAACATCATTCTTTTGCCACTTTCCGCGCCATGTATCACCACTTGGAGTACTTGCAATTTTTGTGTGTAAAGCTAAATCAGCAATATTAATTCCACGATGTCTGGACAATGTCGGATCTCTGCTTCTTGTTTTTAATCCGAGCCAACTTTGATCTTTAAATGTGATTTTTTTGAGGTCTTGACCAGTTTCGACAGCAAGATCTAAAAGTAATATAAAAAACTTTAAATGTTGCTTTCGTATTTTCAAATCGCCATCTAATTTGAAACAGTAAAAAAAAGATAAAATACCATGTAAGGTCTTAGCGAGGTGACCCCTGGCTTTGTCAAGAGGTGTATCTCCATCTTTATTAGCCAAAGATACTAAACCTCCTTGTGCCACTAAATCTTCTGCGATTCCTTGATAACCCCAAAAACATGCATAATGTAGTGGTGAATTACCATGTTCATTTATGAAATTGACATCGGCTCGACTTTTAAGCAACTACGATTAAGTTTTAAAAGCACAAAATACATTAACGATAGCTAATCTAATTAAGTTTGAACTTTTACAACAATGTACTTTCAAATTTGAATACAAAAAATAAAAGTACCATGTGAACTATTTCTCTATGGCCATGGGCAGCTGCCAAATGAAGAGCTGTGTCATCTCCTCTGTTTGTTGCATTCACTCTGGCACCTCTTTGAAGTAAAAGTTCCACAATCTTGGCATGGCCTTCTTTCGAAGCCCAATGCAAAGGGCTCAAACCATGATCATCTCTTTTGTTTAAAAAAAAAAAAAAAAAAAAAAAATTAAAAATTTTTTTCATAAATAACAACTTTTAAATAAACTAAACGGTTAATTTTTTTTTACGATTTCACATTAAACAGTTAATTCAAATAACATTTTTACATAATAATAATAATAATAATATAGCTATGATTAAGCAGATGTGTAAGAAACATTTAATTTATTGCTTTCAATGAATAAAACAACTAAAATACTTCCATTTAAATTACTTCTTTATGAAAAAAAATATGCAAATTCTATAATTTTTATTTATTTTAATAAAAATAATTAAAATTTAATTTTGTAAATTGAGCTCCATAAAATCGTTAATTTGGGTCACACAAATTGAGCAAGATTTTAAAATAAAATTAAGTTTAATTAATAACTCAAGTTTGGTAGTCAAAAATTTTATAAATGTAATATTAAAAAAAAAATAAATTTGAAAAAACAGTTCTTGAAAAAAATAAAAAATTAAATAATTATTTTTATTAAAATAACAATAAATCCTACGCTAATCCATAATAAAAATGAAGGAGTGTGTTTTTAAAGTAATTTAATTTAAACTTACCCTTGGTTCAAATCATTTTCCGTATCATCCAACCATACTCGAACGAGCATAACATTTCCTTCTCGGCACCATTGAAATATATCTTCCATAATTTATTTTAATATTTAATTATTATTATTTAAAATAAAATTGAAAATCAAATTCACTTTCACATACACACACACACACACACTCACACCCACTTACTGGACACTGTTTACCAAAAATAGAAATGTTCTCATATTATATAAAAACATTTTAAATTATTAATTATTTTTGTTATAAAATACTGTAATAATAAAAATCTATATTAAAAAATTTTAATTATAAAAAATAAAAATTTTTGTAAAAAAAAAAACTTAACAAACAAATATAACATAAATTAAATTACTTTACTTCGTTCACCGCCTTCTATGACAATTTAAAATCATGAACTAGGTTTTAAAATGTGACGTCATTAAATTTAGCGGGAATTTTTTCAATTGTGTTTTCATTTGAAGTGTTCTTTATTTTTTTAAAATGACAGATAAAAATATTAAAACAGTACTTCTCATAACTTCATCCGAAGACAATTCTTTATTTCCTTTTTTATTCGAAGTACTTTTTTTTTTTATTTTTATTTGTCGGTTACAATAATATTAAGGCAAAATTTAATTTTAAAAAAACTTAAAGTATGTGATGATATTTTTGATTTTGATTGTCTGTTACTGTATTTCAGTTTACCAATTACTGGGCTACAGAAGGTCAACAATTGCTGTATATATCAAAATCTCGAATCGAAAGTCTTCCACCTTCTTTGAGAAAAAGTTCAATAACTGAACCACACATACTAAAATTAATGCAATTTATGTAAGCATTATTTATAATTTATCGAGCATTTAAATTAATTTGACCTAACACTTAACTTCAAAATAGTTTTATTTTAGGTACTTACCAACTTGGAAAGATTTATTATATCAAATAGCTACAATTCACATTCGAAGTTTTAAAATTAGTGCAATCGTTGTAGACAATCTTGCAGATTATTTTTCCGATAGGGCAAAACATACTGATTATCAAAGCCAGATCTCTTATTTATGTGCTACTCTTCTTTTTGCTGTTTTATTATTGAAAAATAACAATGATTGTGTTGCACTGGTTTGTGGTTACATCTCTAAAGAAGCATTGATTGAACAAAATATTGTTAAAAATTTTTTTCATAATATATGGAGTGTGCATACAAATAAACTTGATTCTGAGAAAACATTATTAAAAATAATTAAATGTTCAATTCCAAAACGTGATGAAATAAGTTCAGTGACCTATTTAGACAATAATGAACATATGTTTGATAAAGATCGTTCAAAAGTTAAATTAAAAATTATTGAAATTTTAAAATCGTAGAAAAACTTTCATGACAACAAAAATATGTAATAGTGTATTTATGTAAATAAAAAATTTAATAAAATAAAAATTGTGAATGTAATATAAATTAAAAAAAGGTTATTAGACAAATATACAGTATTAATAATAATAATAATAATATACCTAATATAAATAATATTATTCTACTTAACATCTCAACTTTTTTATTTCCCTTAAGCAGCTCTTATCATTCAAAATTTTCCGATAACAGTTATATTAGTAAAATTGATTACAATTTTTTTTTATTGATTTAGTCATGCATAAATTAAATTTAATAACTATTTAAAATACAAATTTATATGGCATATTTTTTTAAAATATGCATTAGACGGTTATTTTTAAAAACAATTATTTAAAAAAATAAAAATTATTTTCCGTGTTAAAACATTAATACGTGTAGATATAAATAAATTATAAATAAAATTTTTTAAAAATTAATTTTAGTAATTTCTTTTTTTAGAAAAAGAAATAGTAGGCATGGAAATTTTTTTTTTTTAAATATGAGGCACTTATTCAAACTTAAAGTCGCAAATCAATTCATACTTTTGTACTTTGTGAACAAATTATATAAGACTCTCAATGTCGATTTCAAATCTCTATTAACAATATCTGAAAAAAAAAAAAGGATTTTGAAATTTATTAAATGATCTAAATTTTTACATATTAAAACTAATATGTAAATAGAAAAATGAAAGTGAAGTAATTATATTTTTAATATTTTATTCGGTGAAATATTTATTTACCTTCCGGTCTTGCTTTTGCTCTCGCCAATCCGACATCTTGCATAAGCTCAAATGATAGTGCGACATTATGAACTTTTTCATCAAAATTTTTCGGTGTAAGGTAAAAAGAATAAAGTGGTACAAAGAATCCTTCTAAAAGTCCCATGAAAAGAGTTAAATAAACTCCATCATCGAATTGTGTGTCCAAATCGGTGACTTCCAAATTAATTTTATTTAAATGTTTATTGACAAACGTGACAAGAGACTAAAACAAAATATTAATTATGTTAACATGTTTCCCAAATGAAAAAGATTTATAAAAGGTTTAAATATTTAACTTACCTTTTTAACAACTTCTAATTTATCAGGTGCTTGATCGAACAATGTATCAAATGCATCTCTTTCACATCTCATACCCAAATCATCATAAGTTGCAGTTAATTCCTCGTGTACTGTTCTATGGCTGAGAACGCCATCTTTTTTCTAAATCGAAAAAAATTACTTATATATTAATTACATAAAATTACTTTTATATTACTATACAAATTTAATAAAAAATTATTTTAATTACCTTTACAACAACAACTGAAACAACAACATTTTCTGGCAATCGTACTGGAGCTCTAAAATGTCTTGCTAATGATACCAATAAATGAAGTATGGAAACGACATTTTTAGAATGAATACTTTCGACATTCCATTTTGGTGACGACATGTAAGGCACTCCCAAAACTTGATTGACTGCTCTCAATACAATTTGCAATTTTTGTTTTTGACCTTCTTCCGATTGTGTTACTTCCGGTACATCCAATAATTCTCCACTAAGTTTTTCTACAAAAAATTTTTTTTTTTTACTCAGTAAATTCTTTGTCATTTAAAATTTAAGTTTATGGTATAATTTTACCGATAAGTTTCTGCAAAACTTGTCCATCATACAAATCTTCTTCAATATCTTTTACGATGATTCGCTGATCGGCTAATTCATCATTAATCCATTCGATTAAAACTCTTATCAGTTCAGTTAATTTTGGATTATTTCTCTCTCCAGGTGCTAAAATTGACCTCTCTTCATTTTCATCTGTGAAATTTAAAAAAATTATGAGTAAAATATGTAAATTTTATATAAAAAAAATATTTTTTAATCGATAATAACTTACCCAATGCATATTCGTCTGGTGAAATAACGGGAGAAAATACAAAACCAGGAGAGTCGATTGCAATTTCACCTTCTTCTTGTACTTCTTGAACTGAAAAATAAAAATAATCATCAGATATTTATATTTATTTTAAAATAATTATTTGACATTAGGAGAATAATTTAGTTTCAAGTTTTACAAGACACGTGTAATTAATAAAAAAAAATCGTATTTTTAAAATCGTTTAAATTTATAATTAATTATGATTAATGGAGAATTTTTAATTAAGCATTACAAAAGACATTTAAATTTAAATTTAAACGCCCACAGTATAAATAATATCGTTTCCAAATAAGGCTATGCAAATGAAAATTTTTTAAATCTCGGATTAATAACCTAAATTTTTTTTATTTAAATTTTTCAAAAAAACGCTTACCTTCTTTAATTCTTTTTTTTCTCCCCAACGTTCCGATTTTTTCCCAAAACGACTCCTCTTTTTCTTCTTTTCTGATAAATCCAGGAGATCGAGGAGATTTAGGTCTTGCAGGAGAGGCCATTGTTATTGTGTAATGTTTTGATCATAGACACCATTAAAATTAATTACAAATTTTAAATGTACGTCTGTGGTTTTTATTCAAATATTTTATAACCGAACTTTTTTTAAATACAAAAATCCTATTAATTTAATATGAAAAAAGAAAATTAAAAAAAAAAAATTAGAACAAGGAATTTTTAAAATTTTATTTTAAACATACATAATAAAACAAATAACAATCAATAAAATTTTTGAAATTAAACAAAAATCTAAAAAGTTAAACAAGAAAAATTATTTTTTGTCAATTAGCTAAATTAATTTTTTACATTGAATCCTCATTTTCCAATCCTAAAAGTGTATTCATATTTGTTATTCCTTTTATACTCCATTGATACAAAACATCCGATGAAGAAGTAATACAATATGAGTTACACAAAGTTTCAGAGTATTTGGAAACATTACCAACTGGACTTAAATCAGCAGGAGCAATTCTGAAATTTGACATTTTTTTTTAATTGAGAATTTGAAAAAAAAAAAATTGATGTAAAGTTTTTAAAACATACCTGTTGGTAGAGGATTTCAAACCCGACCTTCTTCCAAATTTTTTCACCACGAGATTGGCAGAACTTCTATTACTTCGTAAAGAATTCTCCGAAAAATTTGCATTAACTTTAATATTTTTATTTATGTAATTTTCGGTTAAACATGAAAAATCCTCGGAATTAGTTGAACTTGAATCCTCAGGTTCTAATAAATTTTTTTCATTTGTCGAACTTCCAGAAAACTTTCTTTTTATATTTGCCGATCGAGTTCTTTTTAATCTTCGATTACTTCCAAGGAGTAATCCATCTGACGTCATTAAAACTTATTAGTTTTTAAAATATCAAAAAAATAATTGTAATAACAAAATACCTCCTAAACCTCCTATTACCTCCTAAACCATCACTGTCGCTATGATTTGGTGTAGATTGAAATGTAGGCTGTTGAACAGGATCCTCAACTTTTTGATTTTGTGCAAATGTATTACCGAAAAAATTATAATTATTAATCCAACCGTATTGACATATTTGCGGTGGTATCTCTTCAATTCCATCATTATTTGCTGCAACTCGAGCTAAAGTTAAAATTTCTTCCCGAGTTTTATTGAGTTCTTCATTCTCAGACAGCATAACCTGATAAAAAAATTTTTTTTTTTTAATGTTGTGTAAAACATTCTAATGATATAAAGCGATAACTCTTTCTTGTGAATTACCAATTGCCTCAGAGGATCATTATATAAAGGATCTGAATTCGAATCCGATTCAACGCAAGAAACTTCTGATGGTTGAGGTTGAGTTTTGAAACTGGTCGAAGTTTGATTTTCCGAACTGAATTCCAAATCATTTGTAAATGCCATAACGTCCAAAGCAGCTAACAAACCGCCTCCTCCCGTTCCAACAGTGTTTCCTGTCGTTTCTGGAACGGTTATATCAGCCACACCCGAGATGCTCGTAACGTGGCTGAAATTTTAAATGTCGGTGTAAATAAATGAAAAAAAAATTAACAAATTTCATGCGTTAATGTCTGTTTTATTTCACCCTAATTTTATTGGTGCAGGTTTGACGGGGGTTGAAATTGATGATCTTCCCCACATAAGACGTCGCAATTGTTCTCCGGTCATTCCTCTCTTATGCAATTCTCGAATGGTTACTTTTCCAACCCTCTACAATGAAAACTGTTTGTCAGTCAAAGTATTAGAAAATTATAAAATTTACAAAGCCTGATAATATCATACCTTCCAATTACAAAGTGCGCCTTTTCTTTGTTTTGCTCTTGTTTTACTTTTAGATTTAATTACCAAAACACCTCTTTGCTCGGTGCTAGGATCATCACCAGGACCTAATTTAATAGAATATTCTTGTAAGTAACGATGACAATCTTCCTGATTTACCGCACGTTCCAAAGCCACAACAATTTTAGCCCACTGCAAAACAAATTTTCCACGTTTACTTTTTCTCTAATAATATTTCTAATTTAAACCATAAAAAAATCCTGAACCTGTTTCATCCATTCTTTTTCGCTTTGTTCAATAACATGAGCATAAGTATTGCCCATCATGGCAATCAACATGTTTAACAAAAGAATGGGTACCAAAACCATAAATATTGTGAATACCATTTTGCTAATGGCTGGATATGCTGTTAGAGATAAATCATTGTACTAAAAATTTAAATTTTTTATAATTTATTGAATAACAATTTTAAAAAAAATTAATATTAAGTGCTATTAAAATAAACTGACGTTATAATCTCCCATTGTGACTTGAAAAAGAGCCATCCAAGTTGATGGATATGAAGTAAATAGAGAACTGCTCACATTTTTAGAGCCTTTGTATAGGAAAAAAAAACTTTGAGAAAAACCAAATAAAAATACCGAATATATAATACCAAAGGTTAACATATCTCCAGTGATCATACTGTAAATCATGGTGACAAATGGACCAGTTAATCGAATCGCTCTGAAATCACAAAAAAAAAAAAATACAAATTAAATTCCATTTTTTATTTTTAGTTAAATTGATTTTTTTTGTAAGTCTTACCCGGCAAAAAACATTAACAGAAACCACGAACTAGGTACCGCAAATACAAGTATGGCTTCTTCCGTATCCGTATCACCAGCCACACGGTAAGGTATACAGGCCAAAATTAAAAGATTTGATATGAGAAATATAAACTTTGCAGGATCATGCGGCTAAAAAAAAAAAATTCGCCCAGATTTCAAGATTAAATAATTCTGCCATTTATTTATAAAAAAAAAAAAAAAAAAATTAAAAATACCAATTGTTTTAAAAAACTAATCAATCCTTGATTTCTAATTTCATCTCCTTGTTGAAAACATAAATAACAAAGAACTCCGAGTATGGTACCGATTTCGAAACAATACCTGACAACATCTTGAACGGAAGTACCACCCAAAAGTGGTTTATTTCTATCGTCCGGTCTTAAATATACAGAACCACTTAGGCAAAATATATGTAAGAAGAAAATAACCAAACGTTTTAAAAATTGGTTCTGAAAAAAAGAAAAAAAAAACGGAATTAGCCAATAACAGAAAAGCCATTTTTAAACTCAAAGTTTTATACTCACTCTTGCAAAAGTTTTCCATTTTTCTTCCAAAAGCCTTTGGATTATTCCACCATCTAACATGTCTAAATGTTCTTCTTTGGTACCGTTTAAAATAATAAAAATTGCAGAATTCCAATCTAAGCAAATGAAAAATATTAAACGTGTTTAAAAGCCAGACAGTTGAAGGGTTGTAAAACATTAATAAATTTTAAAATAAAATCAATACTGGTTCTTCCATCTGGTAATAGAGTGTCAAGTGCATTTAGTGGATATGCCGAACAAGTGATGTTGCTGTAACGCCAAAATTCTTTAGCACTCAGTTCTAACATTTCTTTAAAAACATCTGCTCTACCCAATTTACATGCCAATGTTAGGGGAGTAAGTCCCTCGTTGTTAATTATTCCATTACTAGCTGGTACTTTTGGATGACGAAGAGCATAACCAAACATGTCCTTTAATAAATTTTATAAACTCACCCAAAATAATTTAAGTTTTTTTTTTTTTTTTTAAATAACAATAGGTATATTTTACCAGTTTATCACAAACGACCACCATGTGCAATATCATATTTCCAAAAGAATCCTGACTGTCAGGATCGGCACCGACATCAAGAAGTAAATTGTAGACGCTTTCATTCGAGCAGCAAGCTGCCCACGATAAAGGATATTCTCCTAAATATGCCAAACCTTCGTAATCTGTGGTTTTTAAAGGTTTTGCTCGTTGTTGATCTTTAGGAAGAAAAAAACTACCTGAAAATATAAAAAAAAAAATTATTAAATAAATTTTATTCGGTGGTAACTTTCTTCGTTCTCGATAACATTTACACCGACCTACTGCTCTTTGATTAATGTTGGCTCCAGCATCTACCAAATCTTCAACTAATTCGTTATTATTATAAGCAATGGCTAAATGAAGAGCACTAGCTCCCAAATATTCTTCTCCTTCTACTATATCCAAAGCAAGTTTAGGAAAGCATTTTAAAAGGGTACGAGCAAGTTTTGTGTGTATTTTAGAATCGCAAATTATCAAAACATGAAGAAGCGTTTCTCCTAAACTACCCCTGTACTGCATTTGCCAACAAGCTTCGTGGTCTTCCCATTTTGCCAAAGGATCGTAAATAGATAAAGAAGCTTCGATAGGTAAAACGACCTGAAATGATAAATACAGTTAATGTAAAAATTATTTTCGTCGTGATATATTAATTAGTTAAAAAGTTTTAAGGATGGCATACCTGAGCTTGATCTCGAAATTTCCACCTAAGGTATTCTGCACGTTTAATTACTTCACCTTTGCCATCGGCATACATTAAAACTCCAAATTGTTCTTTAATCAGTTTTTCAACCTGAAAATATTTATTATAAATAAAAAAAATTTTTAAAATTTTTATCAAAATCTAATATTACCTCAGCTTGACCTCCAATATTGTATGCTTCGATCAATTCTCCACTGTTTTTGTAGTTGGCAAGTTTATATAAAAGACAATCATCTTTGTTAGAAGCTTGAGAAATGACTCTATCCAAAACCGAACCTTGATTTTGAGGATCTTGAGAAGTTCCACATAATCCAGCTCCCATTTTTTTTTTTTTTTTTTTTTTTTTTAATAATTAAACCCTAAATATTAAAAATTTAACTTTTTACCAAAGTTTCCCTCTTTGTTAAATCAATTTTATATCTCCATGGTGATAAATTTTTTTCCTGCAAATTCTTTTTTTAGAAATTTCATTACATTTTTAAATTAATACATATTTATTATTTTATCACCTAAAAATAATATTAAAATGAAAAATTACACAGGAATCGTGTAAATACATTACATAATAATAATAATAAATTTTCAAAATTAAGAATTCGATAATTAATAATTTTTATATTTATAAACACGTATATATCTCTAAAAATTGATAACAGGTAATAATAATAAAAAAGAAGTCTAGTTACTATATAATTAAATTTCAAAAGATGCTTGCGTATTATTTTCTAATGTTGAGCAAAGTTGTTTTACCTGTTGATTAAAAATAAAAAATTATTATTATTATTATTAAAGTATTATAATTTACAAATTTATTAAAAAAAAAGAAAAGAAGAAGAAGAAGCGGTCATTATTACTTGTGTTAAAACGGAAACTAAATCGCGATCGCTTATGTGTTTTATTTTTTGCGTCAAACTTTTTATTTCCATTTCGACTTCTCGTCTCATTATTTTCGAAATGTTACTTTCTATTTCGAGAGTTTTAAGACTGGAAGAGGATAAAAATCTTCTCGGTATTTTATTGTTGGATTTTCTTGAGCAATTTTTCGAGTCCGAACCGAAAACTTCATTTTCCGACGCGTCGACAACGTTTTGTTCTTCTTCTTCTTCATCCGAATCTTCTTCGACTTTTTTCTGTTTTTGAAGACTGCACCTACGGAGTTTTAACAACTTTTCCGGATCCGTTTCCTGCGTTTTTTCATTAGGATCATTAGGTGATAATGTATTGCTTTTAGATTTCTGATCTTTTGTCGAATCCACTTCGACTAATTCTCCATCGTGAGCGAAAGCAAATGATTTCTGACCGAAAATAATTCTTCTTCTTCTCGTGACTTCTGGAGATATTTTCCCCTGGAAACAAAAAAAAAAAAAAAAAAAAGTTTTTAAAACTTGTACATCGCACATCTTTTTATGTAAATAAATATACCAACCTGATTTTCTAAAAATTTTCTACTGTCTGGACTTAAAACACTTTGAAATTCTGGTGAAAGTTTATTTTGAGAATTTTCACATAGTATTCGTCTTGATTCATTTGATACTCTTGATATTGAACGTTCTCTTAATTTTTCCATTATGTTGGCCACAATCGCAGATGGCCTCCTGTAACTCGGACCTTATAAATAATTTAATAATTTCAATTATTAAAATTAAAAATAATCTTCGTTTTACCTTACAGTTTATAAATTTTTTTTTTTTACGATGACAAATACCTGATATTAACATTTATTTCAAAATCAAGCTGCTTGAAATTAAATTTAAAAAGAAAAATTTAACTAAATAAAGAAATTGTTTAATAATACAATTTATGTAATATATATTATACTAACCTGATAAACCTCTGAAACCTAATGATGAGCATTCAAAATTTTGAGCTTGAATTAATTCACGTTTTAAAAATTCGTTCCAGTTACCTCCTTTACACTATAAAAAAAAAAATATAAGAACTTTAATATGAATATAATCGACAGAATAAGTTAAATCAAGAGTTAAAGTAAATTTTTGTCTTTCAAACCTTGGAAGGCACTAAAAATCTTTTGGGTATTCTGCAATTTTCCATACTGACACCAGGTACACTTCCAAAACCGAGATTAAGAAAAATTTCAACAGGATCTGGCCTTCTTGATTCCAAAAGCGAGTCTAAACTAGAGTTAGATTGTATAGAGGCTTCTCTACTAAGTTTTGCAGGAGGCGCTGGAGTAGATTTAGGTGAAGTTAAATTTATCGCATCCATTTTTTCTTCTTTATAATTATCATTTAAGTTGTTCCTGTTAGACAAATTACTCTAAATTAAAATATTCCATTACTAAATTTAATAAATCTAATAAAATTTTAAAATTACTTGGAATCTTTCAATGGTAAATGATTTATCCATTCTTGAACTGATGTAGGTATACTTCTACTTTCCGGATTAAGAGATTCGGTTTTATATTCGTCTCCTTCGCTAGATTCAATTTCTTCGAAGCTAATGAGAGAATTACTTTTAAAATTTTTTTTTTCAGTAAAATGTTTATCTGTTTTATTTTCATCAAACTCATCAGTCTTTTCTTTACTACTACAGTATCCTTCTTCATTCGAGTGTCCAGTGTCCATGGAATGAGAGGTTTCATCTGAGAATTGCGATTGTTGTTTTTTCGTCGAAATCATTTTGTTAAATGCCAAGCTCATTATACTTTTCCTTTTTTTTTTATTCGTCAAATTGTTTGGTACAGTCTGATGATTAAAATCTGAATTTTTTTTAAAATTAAATTTTTCCAACAAATTATGTATTCTTCCAGTACTTTTAGATGGTTCTAAGATATCTTTACACCTTTTTGAAAAATTTGTACCGCTACTTTCATTTTTAAAATTTCTGAATAGTTTAGAATATTTTTTTGAAAAACTTCCTTGAGAAACATTCCTGTGAAGAGGAGGTAAACCTCCTTAAAAAAAAAAAAAAAAAACATATTTGGTCATTAATAACTCAAATCTTACTTTAAAAAATTTATTTTAGATGATGATAATAATAATCACCAATTATTTTTAGGAGTTATTATATTTTTATGATAAATTGTAACAATTAATTTATTTAAAAAAAAAAAAAATTTACAAGTGTGGAATTGATTTTTTAAATATTAATTTTTTTAAAAATTATTAATCCAATACCTTCTTTCAATTTTAAAGATTCTAAAACAAACAATTTATCATCCATATTGATTAAAACTAAAAATAGATTATATAGGTAGTTAGTGTTAAAACCTAATCAATCACGTCAAAAAATGATTAGTATTGTTCTTAATAGTGCGCTTATCTATAAGTAATTTTAATTTTAAAAAAATTTATCGCTTATAACATACTTTTTCATGCATAATTTTTTTTTTTTTATAAACCAATAATATTTATTCCTATCGAGTAAATAAAATAAAAAATTTTTAATTATTTGGGTTAAATAAACTGCAGCATATTGTAAAACGTAAAAAAATACTTTTATTAAAGAAAGCAGGTGATAACACCTATAGCAAATATTAATCCAAGTTATGTTTTTAATAAAGCAAAATTAAAGCGTCAGTTTATTAATTAATGAATTACGCAATAAGATTCAGGACAAGATTGAAAATAAAAGAAGATTAGAAAAAGTAAAATTATGGGAAACAAAAAAGATATTTTTTTTACGTGTTTTCAAGGATTCTAATAAGTAATACACACCTATCAATATCCAAATATTTTTATTTTACCTAGCGGTAACTAACTTTTTAAAAATAATATTAAATTAAAGCGAAAGATAGAGTTTTAAAGAAAATTCATTTTCTGATATAAAAAAAAATTATTAAGTAACAAGTAAATAAATATCTTTTGCCACATTCTTTTGTGGCTCCAGATTTATGTAATCTTGTGCCACAGTTATTAAAACGCACCGGGTTTTATTTAAAGTGTCAATAGAAAATTTGGAACTCCATCGAGTCATTCCATCAAGAATTAATAATTGAGTTTGTTATATTTATTTATAAAAATGAATCCGAAAGAAACACCATTTGAGTTTTACACCGATAATGGAGGGTTAGTTGTTAATTATAGTTTTTAATCATCTTTTAAAATCATTATTATTAGTATTAATTGTTATATTTTTTGTATAATAATCGGTCTCGTACCTGAAGATTTTTATAAAAAACATATCCTATTTTTATATAAAAAATGTTTACTTAATTTTATAGTAATTTTGCTTTTTACTCTTTTATTAAATTTTTTGATTGTATCAGTTCAAATGTTTATTTTTATATTACAGAAGTATTGTGGCTATCGCTGGAGAAGATTTTGCTGTGATTGGATCTGATACAAGATTAAGTAGTAACTATTCTATTTTCACTAGAAATCAATCGAAACTTTTTAAACTGTCTGACACTACAGTACTTGGTTGCTCAGGATGTTGGTGTGACACCTTACAATTGACAAAAGTCGTGAGAGCCCAAATGCAGGTACTAAATTTAAATTTATCCAAATGCCAATTAAGTGATCGTTTTAATTAAAAACAAATTGATGTTATTATTAACAGATGTACTTCCATGATAATAATAAAGTTATGGTTACTCCTGCCGTTTCTCAAATGTTATCCACATTACTCTATTACAAAAGATTCATGCCTTATCTAGTTTATAATGTGCTAGCTGGTCTTGACGATCAAGGAAAAGGTTGTGTTTACAGTTATGATCCCATTGGACATTGCGAAAGGAGTACTTTTAGAGCTGGTGGTTCTTCTGGAGCATTATTGCAACCCCTACTAGATAACCAAGTAAGCCCTTTTTTTTTTTGTAAAATTTCAAATGTTTTTTAACCCTAAGTTTATTTTTTTCTTAAACAAAATATAACAAATTTGTTTTTAGTTGGGGTATCATAACATGGAAAATGTTAAAAAAGAACAACTCACATTGGAAAAAGCTTTATCAGTTTTAAAAGATGTTTTTATCGCTGCTGCTGAAAGAGATATTTATACTGGGGATTCGATAGCCATTTACGTTATTAAAAAAGACGGTATAAAGTCTGAAAATTTCGATTTGAGAAAAGATTAAAAATCAATTGGATTCAGTTCGATTTAAAGTCATTGAATACGTGTAAAAAAATTATGCCTTTGTCATCATTATTGTATTATTTTAATACTAATTTTGCATCTTGCATAACATACTTTTATTTTTTGTATTATTATTATTATTATTATTATTATTATTAAAAACATTAAAATTAATTATAACATGATGAATTCGATAATTTTTTTTTTTTTTAAATCGAGATCCCGAATCGATACCAATTTGACATGATGATTTGTAAGGAAGCATTTATATAAGTATCAAACGCAATAAATGCTTTACATATTTTTTCAAGTTGTTCGATAATAATAATACTTATTCATAAAAAGTAAAATGTTGAAAGAAAAATTTTAATTGGTAAAAAAAAAAAAAAACTTGTTATTATGTATTATTTGTAATAAGTGAGGGTCAAACTTTTAATTAATTATTCACTTGGCTTGATATTTTTTGTTTTAAACACACACACAACGACATGTCCCCAAAAATGGTATTTTTAAATTCCACCAACAAATAAAATAGAAAGTAATAATAATATAATTAAATAATAAATAAAATAACAGTTTTTAGTTAAACGTCACGTCCCAAAATGGAGTCAAGAAAAAAAAAAAAAAAAAAAAAAAGGTGTTAATAATAAATGCTAATAATAATTTTTCCGTTACATTTTAACATTACATTTTAAAGGGGGAGATTTGTTTAGTTATTTCAAGTCAAATCATTCGATATATAAAAATAATATTTTGTCAATAATGAAAAATTATTTTTTTTTCATTTTTTTTACACTACTGACATTATTTTTAATTTGTGTTTTTTCCGAATCAAATTACTTACCAAGTTATAATAATAATAATGATGATGATGATTATCAAAGCAGAAATCCTAAATGTAAGTACGTTAGTTAAAATTTGAAAAATTTAATTTTTAAACAAGTTTTTGAAAAAAAATCCCCTTATTTTTATAGTTTTTCCATTTTTTTTGGGACCGACCTTTGTACGATTTCCCAACGAACCTTGCGTGGGAGAAAATGGACTCAAAGGTACCTGTTTCAGTCGTTTAGAATGTTCTAAATATGGAGGATTTTCATCTGGGACTTGTGCCAAAGGATTAGGAAGCTGTTGCATAGGTAATAAAAATTTTCATTCAATCATTTTAAAACCGATTAAATTCGAACGAAAATATTTTCTCCTTTTTTTCACAAGTAAAAAAAACATGCGGACAAACAACAAATATAAATTGCACATATTTTTCAAATCCCGAATATCCGGCATCGTATAAAGGAACCGGAAATCCTTGCACATTGAAAATATGGAAATGTAATAAAAAAATATGTCAGGTTCGATTGGATTTCATTGATTTTAAATTATCAGAACCTGATTCGATGGGACGTTGCACGGATGATTTTCTTTTAATTTCAAATCCGGCCTCTAATTTTAAAAGAATTTGTGGAGTGAATACCGGACAACATGGTATGTAAACAAAACCAAGAGGAGAAAACTAACTGCTAATGTAGGAATTTCTTTGATAATGATAATATGTACACGTTTTTCAGTATATTTGGATTTTGCTGAAGACACACCTATAGAACTACTAATTGATACAAATACCGCATTGACAACAGAAAGAAAATGGAACATAAAAATCTCACAGATAGATTGTTGTGCAAGAGCTCCAGTCGGGTGTTTAATGCATTACACATCAACTTCTGGAAAAGTAAAAAGTTTCAATTACTCACCATTACTGTCCACAGCTCCTGAAGATCCAGGTATGACTCATGATTAAACTTGTGAACGTGATATTCAACACGACAAATGAATTTTCTTCTCATTAACAGATTCTCCCGGTCCTGGAACAAGGCAAATATCTGAATTAAATTATGGCGTTTGTGTACAAATGATTCCTGGATATTGTTCAATAGAATGGACACAAAATCCAACGGATAAATTTTCATTTACCGTATCTGGTGATACAGAAGCTTTGGATGCCACACTTTTAGGTACCACTCTCACTCTGTTGAATGATGTTTAAATTTAAACAATTTATATTTATTTCTTTTTTAAAATTCAGGTACTCCGATTGCCTCTGAAATGGGTGAAACATGCACAAATAATTTCGTTGTTATTCCAAATCCGATGATTAACGGAACTCCAACTAAAACAGATAGATTTTGTGGAAATGGTTTTCCGACACTTGTTTGTGAGCTTTTACCATAAATTTTTGTCTTTCTTTCGTGTAACGTATAAAAAATTGGAACATTTATACAATTCAAACTTTTCTTCTTTTTCTTTCAGCGTCATCAAAACCTTTTGTCCTGACTGTGGTCACAAGTGCTTCTCCATCAATAGAAACGCCAGACGTTGGAAATCGTGGATTTTGTTTAAATTACAGACAACTTCCGTGCGATTAATTTATTTTTTTTTTTCGAACAATATATAATTAAATAAATAATATTTTTCCTAGTTGATATGACGTTTGAGTAATTTTTTCTAATAAATTCCTATATTAATTTTTTTGTTTAACAAAAGAAACAAGAAATGAAGCAACGAACGACTCGTTAATTCCTCATCAAATAAAATTAAACCATTAAATTATTATTATTATTATTATTTAATAAAAAAATTTTTTTCTTATCCTTATTTTTAAAATTAAAACTATTTTTTCTTTCTTTTCATTTTTAATTTCGAACCTATTTTAGCACCTCTTATAGCAGATTTAACAATGTTGTTCATTTTTTGCCTCCTGTTCAACAATTTCCTGGATAGGGGAATATAAGCGTACGGATCGGGTTTTCCCCTCAATTTAACGTCTCCCTTTGCTTTTCTCGCCCGATATTCTTTTCCCGTTTTCAAATTGGGCAATTGATTTTTATTTAATTTTTTTTTATTTTTCTTCATTTTTATCAATTTTGTCGTGCTGTTGCCTTCGACGTGAATCGGTCTGTGAATACCTGATCCTCCAGCTGGAGGAAAAAAAAAAAAAAAAAAAAAAACAATTTTAAATTTAAATTCCCATTCGTATATAAATTTCCCTCGAAAATGTGTGTAAATGTCTTCTTCACCTTGGTACTTGTTTGGAACTTCGGATGAAAGACTCAATTTACGTTTTCTTCCCAACATGACATTTTCTAATTTATTCGAAAGGTTATCCACGTAGGACCGACCATCGTCATCATCATCGTCGTCCTCGTCCTCATCATCATCATCATCACCGACGGAAAACCTATCGTTTTCTTTGTCCAACATATCTTCGGTTATAATCATTCTCCCATCTTGCGTAAATTTAATATCGCTCTTTTTCTTTTCTTTTTTATTTGTTTCCTTATCCGGTCGAACTCCTAAAAGAAAATTTTTTCCATCGTGAAAATAACTCTCAGCTTACCAATCGACCGTTTTTACTTTTAATTTAAATTTTACCCGATATTTTACTGGAAGCCGATGGAGAAATAAAGTCGACAATATTATCGGCATCTTCTTGAATAAACAAATCGGATTCATCTTTTCTCTTCTTCTTCTTCTTCTTCTTTTGACCATTTTGTTTCTTTTCTTCTTCTTCTTCATCTTCTGATTCGTCACTCGATGCCAATATTTCATCGATGCTAAAATTTACAAAAAAATTAAAAAACAAAATTTTCATTTAAAATTTCATAAAAAAAAAAAAAAAAAAAAAAAAAAAAAAAAAAAAAACCTTTTAGGTTTGGCTTTCGCAGAAAATTCCTCGGGGAAATCATCATCATTTTCTTCCTTGTCAATTTTATTATTTGATTTTTTCTTCATGTTAATCCTTTTTAAATTTTTCAATCTTCTCTGCAAAATAACATCTTCTCCCGGTATTAACGATCGAATTATATCGTAACCAAATTTTCTTATGAGTCTATCCAAAATGTCTCTGGTTTTCAGTCGAAAATGATTTTTGCAGTCGTCCACCATGGACACAATCGCACCAACCTATAAAAAATAAAAAAAATTTTACTTTCCTGGAGAGGAAAAAAAAAAAAAAAGGGATAAAAATTAAACGTACGAACCATCGTGGGAACGTAGGGTAAAACATGATCCTTTTGAAAAGACGTCAAAAATATTTTAACGTAATCCAAAGCGGAGCCGACAATTTCCCGGTCGGGAAGACTGCTCAGTAGGCAGACATTTTGTAAAATCGTTTCCATCATGTCCGTTCCCATGTCGGATTTTAAAACCCGAGTCATTTTTCCCAGGGCCAATATCGTGGCACTTGTCAGAGTCGGAGTACCCGCGAGTCCACCGATTATCACCGATATGTAATATTTTATCGTTTCTTCCTGCGTTTTGCTAGACCACGACTGAAAAAAACAAACGAAATTCATTAATTAATTGGAAAAAAAAAATTGTTGTGTTTCTCCATACCTTGCTGATGTAAAACATTTCTTCCAATAAACGGAAAGCTATGAGCCTCGTGTTTTTGTTTATGTCTTTGCAACAAATTATCGCTTCCGGAACGACGGCTTTTATCGTGTTGTATTGATTCTTGGGTAAATTTTTAATCAAATGATATATGCACCTTAAACGTGCTCCCCTATTCGGAGCTTTGGCATTTTTTATCGATTTTAACACGAACGAAAACATTTCCTTTCTTTTTTCCTCCGTAAATTTTTTGCACGTTTCGGAATCGGACGATATGATAACTTCTAGTAGCCTGATAAGTAGAAAAATATATATATGTTATCAGGTTTTAATACGCGGATACATTCCTACCACGATTCCGTAACAAACTTATAAATAAATAACATAAATTAATTAATTAATTAACCTATAAAATTTTTTTTCTTCTTTTTTAGATTTCGCTTCTTCTAACGATTTTATACACATTTGATACGTCACATCTAATCTATCATTATTTTGATAAGGAATTAATAACTTGAGAATATCCATTAATGAATCTTTAATGAAAACCTCCTCTTTTTCCAATTCTTCCATTTTCTTTAATGTTTTATCGTAGATTTCACCGCATTGATCCCTGTTGGTTATCGACAAATAAACCTGATAAGAAAAAAACATTATGAGTACATCTATCGACGTATTAAAAAAAAAAAAATGACAAAAATTTTATCAAATTAAATTTAAGGTAGTACCCCAATCGTTTGGTAAGCTGCTAAACGTTCTCCGCATTCGTCAGTACCGATGGGTTTCTTCACGTAAAAATTAAATAAAATGGGAAGATAATTTTTTGCATATTTACTTAATTCCTTTAAATTTTCTTCATTTTTGAGCACTGAAACAAAAAAAATTGCACAATTGTTGCAAAATTAATTTAATTATTATTATTTTTTTTTTAACTTATTTACAAATTTCGACTCACTTTGATTTCGCGTGATTAGTTTTCTTAAACCCGCCATCCCGTGAATTCGAACGTGTTTTTTCTCCTCAATCACATTTCCAATAATTCTAGCAATGATTTTAAAATTTTCCTTTACGTCATCGGATCCGTTGCAAAAAGCAGGGAGAAGAGACCAGATTTGAAGTTGTAATAAATCATAACTGTGTCCTCCAATTTTTTCGTTTCTCTCGTTCAATTCTTTAGATTTCTTACTGAAAATGTCGAGAAAAATGATGATGATGATGAAAAAAAAAAAAAAAAACACAATTTAAATGTAATGCTAAATGGAAAATTTAAAAAAAAAAAATTAAAATATTAGTAATAAAATATTGTAATTACTCGCATATCAAAGCCATTGGAAGAAAATATTCGCTGAAAAATTTAAGACTCGATGCTTGAATGTTATCTTTTAAAATTGGCAACAACCAACACGTTTTGAATTCGAAATTTACTTCTTCTCCCGTGATAACAATAGGAATATATTTCAAAACCATTTCTGGACCCAAAGATCTAATCGCTTTACCTATCGTGTAATCCAATTCTGACACATACAAAAAGTTAAACGATTCTCTCAAGTTTCCTAATGTTCTTAAAGAGTTTCCAATGTATTCTTCTCCATCTTTTCCAATAACCTGCATATTAACACCAAAAAAAATTTGAAACATTCATTTTACTTAAAACCTTTTAAAATTCAATTACTCGATATTTACCTCGTATAATACACCGAGTAAAGTGAAAACTTGAACCCAGGCATTGTTAAATTGATATTTAAGACAGTTTTCCACTACTGTAAAAACATTTTGACAAATTTGAGAATACCTGACAGAATTCTTACAAGCTTTTAAACAATCCATTGCGACAGTTCGAAGGCAAGTAGTGGCTCCTTGTAAAATATACGCTTTATCACATAACCATAAATTTGTAGCAGTAACAAAAAACTTTCCCAAGTTTTCACCACAGAGCAAAGCATCTGTCCTAAGAAAAACAACAAGAAATTATAAAATACAAATTACTAATTTCCTTACGAATGATCATGTATAATTAATCCTTACTTTGCTAATGCTTTGTGAGCTTCTTGCATAACAGTCAACCATGCTACAGTAGCTTGAGTATCGTTGGTTGATGGTTGATAATCATAAAGTGCATTTAGTAACTTGGCATTCAAAACCGAGTCGAAACGTGTAGGAAGCGCAGATATGAACAAATTATGAAGAACTTCTAAACTGCAAGAGGTTACTATTGGTGTACCCAAAGTCATTAATTTTAGCAGAGTTTCACAAGTTGACTATTAAAAATTCAAAAAAAAAAAAAAAAAACTTTCAAATTAATAAATAAATTTCATGAAAAAGTAGATAAATATTATTATACAAAATTGACAGGTACAAACCTTTATGTAATGCCTAGAAAAGCAACCTATAACTTCTTTTAACAATGTCAAAATGTGAAGTATAATTGTGTTCCCTCCTGAAACTAAACCACTTTCTAATTGTTCTAAGCAGTATTTAGCCGTAGTTTCAGCTGCCGGATGACACTTATCCCCGGTAAAATGAGCAGATGCTTTTAAAATTGCACACACAGCATGTTGACCTGCTTTTCTAACCTAAAATCATATTTCAAAGTATTACTGACATATTGGCCTGCATTTATTGTAAAAATTTTCTTTAGCAATTAAAAAATGAAAATAAATTTTACCTTTGGCTTTGAATGAGTTGAAAAAATTAAAACTGAATGAAAAATTTGATGGGTGGATGGATAAGACCAAACTCCTGGATCTTGAGCTCTTAAACTGACTGATAAACAACCGATAACCTAAATAAAATGTATTATTATATTTCAGTATATTTGAAAATATAATTGAAAACTATATAAGAATTGTACTTACTGTTCTCAAAATAACAGGATTTTCAACTTCAGAATATTTTGCCATAAGGTCTAGAAATATTTTTGACGTTTCAGAAAATTTAACTTTAAGAACTTCACTTGGTACTGATTTAATTCCCATAGCAAGTAGAGATAAAATAGCAGCTACAGTTTCTTCAGCTTCGGTGACTCCCAGAGTTGTAATCTAAAATGTAGCAAAACTTGAAATTTTATGTAACTTACCAATAATTACACAAGATTATTTTAAAAAGTTAAACTTACCAAAGCTGCAAAATACTCTGTTGATGATTCTTTACCACCTTCTGCTTTAATGACTTCCGTAACTGCTGCCAGAACTGCTAACATTTCCTTATGTAGAAATGAATTCGGTTCAAATTTATTTAGTAACCTTTAAAAAAAAATAGAATTTATAAAATTATAAAATATGTAATAATGATTTTCATCATTACTAAGATTAGTGTCATAATAATAACAACTACTTAAAATTGTCAAATGATTCATTACCTATTAAATGACATGTTAGAGCAATTACTCCAGTCGCTGGCAAAAGTTTTAAAGGTTTTTGCTGATGTCCAGGAATCAACAGTACTTGTTTCCATTGATTCACCATCAATAGTTGAAGTTTTCTTTTCAGGTTTTCTATTATTAAACGCATCTAACGTTTTGAGAGCTCCAATTGTAAGAGCACTGGAACCTAAAAAAAAAAAAAAAAAAAATTTTGAGTTAAATAAAATTGTGAAAAAAATCAAATTAAATTAAAAGAATAAAATTTTTTAAATTTAAAGTTTGTATAAAAAATGATATTTTTTCCTCACCGACTTCATGTCGAAAAAATCTTGATTTAGCAGCTTCCCTAAATTTTTTTGATTCAGGGTTACTACTACAACTGTGTCCTTTTGCCCATCTTTTGCCTTTTCCTTTAGGCTTTTTCGGTATTTTCCTCATGTTTCTAACTAATTTTATTTGGTTTTCAAAAAACCCACATGTTCCGCTAAGTTTTCAAGTACTTATTTATTTGTTAAATTTTGTTGGTAATTGTGAAAGTGCTTTTTGTTAAGTTTGCTTCACTGGTTATGTTCGTCATTTATGATCCGTTAACTTTTTTGCAGAGTGTGAGAAAATATTCATATTTACGTGGTAAAGTGTGTTACAGCAAAAATTATTACAATTACATTTTAATGAAAAATGTTCTTGGATAATTTAAAAATTTATATGTTTATTCATTTGATTTTATAAGGTAAGTTTTAAATAAATATTTTTTTTTTTTTTTTTTTTTAAATGGCCGCCTTTGTTTTGATTTTTAATGCAAACGTAATTTTTTTTTTTTTTTATTGTGTGGTCTACTTTTGCAAATTTCCTTTAAATCAAAATTTTTTTGCAATAATCATACTTTTGCGTAAGCTCTGCCTTGCTCGTCTTATTTACACAATCGTTTATACATTTTTATTAATTTTAAATTAATTTATAATTATATTCATCTGTAAAAATATAGTAAATAATAAATAATTAAGTGTAATGTGAAATTTGTCGTAATTAAAATTAATGATTCTTATAAAAAAATTTTGTAAAACATCAATACTACATATAAAAATTTTTTTTTTTTTATCCTGTGTTCCCAAAAGCAACTGTCCACAATTCCCAATATTTTAAAATAAGAAAACCTAAAATAAAAAAAAAAATATTTTTAAAATTAAATGTCAACATTTATTATACAAATAATTAAACAAATTAAAAAAATTATATTTTTTAGTTTAATATTTTAAGGAATCAAGTTTTAAATATATATTTTGTTTTTTTTTTTGTTATCATAATGGTTGAAAAACACCATTAGAATTATTTAACAGGGTTAGTTATGTATAAATATTAGGTTATTTGTAGTCGAGAAATTTATTTTCAATTATTCTTACAGACTTCGAACTGGATGGATCAGGTGCAGACCCCCGGAGGTCTCCAGGGGGTCCAATTACAATTTCTCCTCTTTCTGCCTCTGATCAAGGTAGTCACAAAATTCTTAAGTTCCTAAGTCCCTTACCTAATTTGTGTGTGTTTGATGTATTTTGTTGACTTTTTTTTTGTAATTAGATTAATAATTATATTTTGCATCAAAGAGTTTGAATTTTTTTTTTTTTGGTTTGTTTTTAGGCATGATTTGCAAAAAAAAATTATAATTATTAGAATGCTAATGAATAATTTTTTTTCAGAGGCAATAGACATGACTGCAACACAAGATACTATTCGATTCAGTGGTCATACTTTAGATAAAGCAACCAAGGCAAAAGTTACATTAGAAAATTATTACAGCAATTTAATTGCTCAGCATATTGAAAGAAAACAAAGGTATATAGGTCAATTTTACAATAGAATTTTACAAAATAATGTCATATTGTAACAAAATGAAAATTTATTTATTTACTTTTTTTAAAGCCTTTAATTTACAACTTTTATTATTATTTAGGCTACAAAAACTTGAGGATTCTTTAAAAGATGAAGGTTTATCAGAAGCGCAAAAACAAGAAAAGCGTCAAGCACACGCTCAAAAAGAAACAGAGTTCCTGAGATTGAAAAGATCAAGATTAGGAGTGGAAGATTTTGATCCATTAAAAGTAATAGGTAGAGGAGCATTTGGAGAGGTTAGGCTTGTGCAGAAAAAGGACACAGGACATGTTTACGCTATGAAAATTCTTAGAAAAACAGATATGTTGGAAAAAGAGCAAGTTGCTCATGTTCGAGCTGAGCGTGATGTTTTGGTAGAAGCAGACCATCAGTGGGTTGTAAAAATGTATTATAGTTTCCAGGTTAGATTTTCTTTTTTTTTTTTTGTTTGAAAACATGTGTACCAGGAAATAGTAGAAGGAACGTTTTACAGCATACCTTATTTTTTATGTAGGATCCGATCAATTTGTACCTGATTATGGAATTTCTTCCTGGAGGTGATATGATGACGCTTTTAATGAAAAAAGATACACTTTCGGAAGAGTGCACACAGTTTTACATAGCAGAAACCGCATTGGCTATCGATTCAATTCATAAGCTAGGTTTTATACATAGGTAATACAATCGAAAATTATGCCAATACATATATACATATTTGTTACAATTTTCTTATTTATCTTATTCAATTCTTTTTTTTTAATTAGAGATATCAAACCTGATAATTTACTTTTGGATGCCAGAGGACATATCAAGTTATCTGATTTTGGATTGTGTACTGGTTTGAAAAAATCTCATAGAACCGATTTTTACCGAGACCTTAGTCAGGCAAAGCCTTCTGATTTCAGTACGTTTGTAACCATTAAAAAAAAAAAGTTAAATTTCTTTTCACTAACTAAATTGTTTTTTGATTTATATAATTGATAGCTTCGAGTCCGATGGATAGTAAAAGAAGAGCAGAAAGTTGGAAAAGGAACAGGCGAGCTTTAGCGTATTCCACCGTTGGTACGCCTGATTATATAGCACCAGAAGTATTTCTTCAAACAGGGTACGGTCCAGCTTGTGATTGGTGGAGTTTAGGAGTTATTATGTATGAAATGCTTATAGGTATATTATCAAAATGTTATTTCATACTTACTTGTTTGCTAAATAGCTAGGGTTTCGTATAAATAATCGGGAAAAAAAACTTTCAGGTTACCCTCCGTTTTGTAGCGAGAATCCGCAAGAAACGTATAGAAAAGTCATGAATTGGAGAGACACGTTAAATTTTCCACCGGAAGTTCCCATAAGCGAAGAAGCTAAAGAAACAATAATTAAATTTTGTTGCGAAGCAGACAGACGACTCGGAGCTCAGCGGGGAATGGAAGAAATTCGTTTGGCTCCATTTTTAAGAGACGGAGTCGATTGGGAGCACATAAGAGAAAGACCGGCTGCTATACCCGTACAAGTCAAATCGATAGACGACACGTCGAATTTCGATGATTTTCCAGACATCAAATTAGAAATTCGTAATTATTCGATTAATCGATTTTCGATTTTCGAACCTGAAACAAAAATACAAAAAAATATTAATTTCATACCTTTCTTACAGCATCCGCGCCTTCTAATCAAGATGGAGAAGTCATGTGCAATGATTGGGTTTTTATAAATTATACATTCAAACGTTTCGAAGGTTTGACACAAAGAGGAACACCTACAAAAAAATAAAATATTAATAATAATAATAATAATAATTATATAAGGATTTAATCGATTTTACGATTCGAGATATGATCGATCTTAATTTTAAAAATGGCGTCGTTGTTGTTGATTGTTAAACCAATATTTTTATTTTTGTGATAATTTTTAGCATTTTTTTGAACTTGACTTTTAATATTTGTTGAGCTTGGAAAAAGTTGTAAAAAAAAAAATTAGGGGAAAGTAATAAAATAATAAAAAAAAAAGTGAAAATGAAAATCGTTAAAATAATAATAATAATAATAATTGAAACAATCAATCAGTAGTAATAGTAGTAGTACCTTTTTATCAGTGAATATTAAAATTTAATTTATTTAAAAAAAATTTTTTTTTTTGTTTTTGTCAATCTTGTTTGTTTGGAATTTAACAAAACCGTCCTTTGATTTAAGAGAAAATTTGCAAATGGCGTATCCCTTTTAATTATTATTATTATTATTTATTATCGTGTATATTCATTCTCCCACAAAAAAGCTTGTAGTTGTACACGTTTAAAGTTTAGCATAACGAAAAATAATAATAATAATAATAATATGTCGCGCAAATTCATTTTTATAATTTTGAATTATTTATTATATATATATATCGCGTACAAAAACAAAAACAATGTGAAAACGATTTTCATACCTTAAAAATATAAATAAAAAAAAGAAAAATATATTTTTTTGTTTTTAATTATTGTAAATGAAAAAAAAAAAAAAATTGATAAGAAATTATTAAAGATCTGTTTTATAAAAAAAAAAAAAGTCACTGCCTTAAACCTGTTTAAACTAAAAAAAAAAATACTCAAAATTATCCCCAAAAAAAAAAGTGTACCTTAAAATCCTGATTATCAAAAATAAATATTAATAAAGTCAGTGACTGATACAAAATTTAAAAAAAATATTAAATAATAATAATAAAAGTAATAATAATAATAATGGATTATTTTAATTAATTAATTTTTTTTGCATTAAACTGTACTTACCACATTCATACACACACACACATGGCAATAACTTATTATTTATTATAATAATAATAATAATAATAATAATAATAATAATAATAATAATAATAATATAAAATTATTAGTTTCATATTATTTTTTTTTTTAAAAATCTTATTATTATTATTATTATTAATTAATAATTTTATTTATCGGTTAGTTTTATTAATTTTGCTTTTAATATATATATATATTTCCTTCCTATTTTATTAAATTTCTTTTATGTTACCCCCCCCCCCACGGGGTAGTAACACCCCATATAAATTTATAATATCACATTACAATATGTATACCCAAATCATCTACCATCATCATGACAATTGTATTTTCTTAATAATAATAATAATAATAATAATAATTTTATTATTGATAATTATACTATGAAAATTAAAATTTTCTCTCTCTCTCTCTCTCTATCTATCTTTCTCTCACTTGCAATTATTAATTGTAATTTTTTTTTTTTTTTTTTTTTTTATTTAAATAATTGTTAAATTGTAGATTATTTTAAATGTTTAACAAAAATTAAAAAATCTTTAGATATTTTTAAATTTGTATTTATAAAAAATTAATTAAATAAATATATATATATATATAAATAATTATAAATATGTATTATGTATATATAATTAAATAATTTTGTGCAACTAATAATGAGAAAAAATTTTTTTTTTAATTTAGAAAATTATATGTAAAGCTTTTCGAATTATAACTCACTAATTTTATTTTTTAATTTTTTTTTTTATGTAATTGATTTATATATTATTTTTAAATAATAATAATAATAATATTTGTTATTATATATAAATAAAATGTAATTATTTATAAATATAATTCTATTAAACAATTACTTATTATATTATTATTTTTTTTTATTAAATTTTAACCAAGAGGTAGATATCGATAGTAAAGAATTTTTTCATTAATTATTATTATTATTATTATTTTTTCTTATTATGTTTTATAATTTTTATTACTAATTCTAAATATTATATAAATATTTATATATATATATATATATATTTTTTTTTTTTCAAATAATTATTATCACAACACAATAAATAAATAAATAAATAAATTTAATTTAGTTTTCGTAAATGCTTTGTTACTCATCATCGAATAACAAAATAAATAAATAAATAAAATTATTATTATTATTATTTTTTTAATTTGCTTATCTGAATGAATTTAGTCTTTTAACCAAACAATTAAAATTAAATAATATAAAATAAGTAAATAATTGTACTGTGCTTTTTTTTTTCTAAATGAAAATATTAAGTATTGCGAACACATGTGGCAAATTAAGAATTGCATTTGAGAAACATTAAATAATAATAATAATTTATTCCATTGAATATTTATCAATTCAAGAGAATTTTTTCCCCCCACCACAGATTACGAAGGAATAATTACTACGGTTTATTCATGATAGTGGTTTAATACTGTTAAAAGAAACCGCTTTGTCATTAATCCAATTAACAAATGGCTCACATCTTATGATGCAGCTTAAAAGAGCTGTCGCATCATCTTCTGCTCTGTGAGCTCCTTCAAAATTTTTACCATGTAAAAATTGGTAAACACTAGACAGCGTATATCTTACAGGGGCATTCGGCTTAATAGTTTTAACTTCAGTCTTTTCATTTGTACTATTGTCTAGGGATGAGTAAACGACTTGAACTTCATCATCGGAATCCTCCGGAAACAATTGTCTAACCACTTTTAATTTATTAGCATTTTGTATGTTTGAATCGGAAATGATTAAAGGCGTTTGTGATTGTTTCAGTGGAGTCTTTTGTACGTGTGTAATTTTCGAATAAGTTTTCGATCCTCCTTTGACTAATTGTGAATTATTCGGATAAATTTCTTGAAATGCTTTTATAGAATCTGCACAATAAACAGAATCTGGTAATTTCTAAAAAAAAAATGAAACTCGATAAAAATTTGTTATTAATTCTACGATAAAGTTTTTTTGCATAAAACCACTTACCAAATTTAATTTAAAAAGTTGCCTTTGCAATATAGGAAAATCAAATTTGTTTCCATTATGTGCTATCAAACAAACTGGAGAAGGTAATCTGTTAATAAAATGTATCAGTACTTGAACATCTTCTTCACAAAAAGGTTTAATATTCATTAAATCTTCATTTTCTAAACCTAGGTATCAAATTAACTTGTTTTAAATTTAAAAGTAACAAGTACATTGAATATTTAAATAATAAATTACCTGTTATTTCACTGCTATCTGGTAAAATCATTTTCATAGGATTGAAAAGCAAAACCAACTTGTGAAGAACTCTTGGTAAATTATTAATATTTTTTAAATGTTCAATTTCACAACCCATAAATGCCAATTCTGTTATTTTAGTAGTGTTACTTTCTAAATGAGGAAGCCCTGTTGTTTCTGAATCATAAACAATAATTGATTTAAAATTTACCATTCTGTAGATATGAATCCCGAACAAGTTGGTAAATATTTTTTTACCGAACCGATAATAAATATTTGATTTTTTCACTGTATTCAACATCGTTATTCATTGTATATTAAAACACAATTAGCTAAACTAAACCATTTAATTAAAATTATTTAATTAAATTTTAGTTTTTTATAATTTCAAAATATTAACACGAATTACATTTATTTTTTACCATTATAATATAATTATATAATTATAATATAATTTTTTTTTTTTTTATATACTCTTGTAAATTGTTCATTTTAATCTTGAAAATTCAAAAAAAAAAAAAAATTAAATAAATACTTTTAATTAGTTGTAAATAATTATTTAATTTTTAATTAATATAAATAATTTACTTTTATTTTTGCTTAATATTAATAAAAAATTCACTTACGTTATTTAAAAAAAAAAAAAAAAAAAAAAAAATTCAACTCTGAAGTGAACTATGAACATTACCCGACCGCCATTTTGAATCGACTGCCATTTTGAAAAAAAATTTTCATTGCTGCCAACTTAAAATTTCTGCTTGAAAAAAAAAAATGTAAATATTTACTAATAAAAATACTGTGCTCATTTTCTACTTTATCTAAAATAGTGGATTTGTACATAAAAATGAACTACTTTAATTTCACACACTAATACTGTGCTTTTTAAAATGTTTATTTTTTTTCCCAATAATTAATTAATTAAAAAAATAATACGAAATAAAATTTTTTATTAATTATTAAGAATACTAAAAAATTTTATAAGAACATTTTACAATAAAAAAAAAAAAAAATTAACATTAAAATAATAATTTGGTTCTGTTTAAAAAAAAAAAACACATAAAATATGGATTCATCTCCGAGTCATGAATTTTGTGCTAATGAAAAAGAAGATAATGATAATTCATTAAAATCAATTTCAAATCAAGGATTGGATGAAATATTAGCACCTACGTCAATATATAATTCGAATGAAACGTCGTCAGGTACAAATCTATCATCGTTTACAAACGATATCAAATTTGAACCTGATGTAGAATTTTCAAAAAATGATAAACATAAAAAAAAAGAATTTAAAAGTAAAAAAGAATTGGAAGAAGAAGAAAGAGAAAAAATGCAGTAAGTTACACAAATAGTTATTACAATAAAAAATTAAATAACAAATAATTAAATAAATGGTTGAATGGTTCTTTTGTAGAGTTTTAGTATCAAATTTTACAGAAGAACAATTAGATAGGTATGAAATGTACAGACGTTCTGCATTTCCAAAAGCAGCTATAAAAAGGCTGATGCAAACAATAACCGGTTGTTCAGTTTCGCAAAATGCCGTTATTGCAATGTCTGGAATAGCTAAAGTTTTTGTCGGTGAAGTCGTAGAAGAAGGTAAAACAATCGCAAATCATTTACAAAAAAAAAAAAAAAATTTTTAAAAAAAATAACTCACAATTTTTTTTTTCTTTCTTTCATCATACCAGCTCTTGATGTTATGGAGGAGCAAGATGAATTAGGTCCTGTTCAGCCGAAACATTTAAGAGAAGCAGTTAGAAGACTAAGAGTTGCCAGAAATTTTCCAATTAGTAAAAATGAAAAAAGACTATTTTAATAAATACATTAATTACATTAGCTTATAAACAATAATTACGATATTACTGCCATACATTTATAATTACGGTGAATTATTATTAATTTTTTTACAACATTTAATAAATAAAAAATTATTATTATTTTATAAAAAAAAAAAAACTTTTATTATAAGATAAACAATTAATAATTATACATACATTAAATTCTACTTTTAAAAAAAAAACATTAAATTAACATGTATTTAGTAAAAATTTAATTTTTTATATTCATAGTCGCTCAAACAATTAACTCTGCAACTAATTGTAAGACTTCACAATATGTTTATAATACCATCTTGTAAAAAAAAATTTATTATTGGAATGTGAAGACAATACATGCAAACAAACAAACAAAAAACCTGGTAATAATACTTTTCTCCTTTAACAAAAATTAAAAAATTTTTTTTTTTTTTCGGTAAATATGATGTTAATTATTGTACATAACTTATATCAAAAAATATAATTTACTCAGTACCATAATAATAACAATTATTTAATAAGCAACCTTAATGAATATTTTCCTTTAATAACATTAAAAAAAAAAAAAAAAGAAGAAAAATTAAAGGTTTATAATAATAATGGTAAAATGTAAAAATAATTATTTTTACAATAAAACAATACCTATATATATATATATTAAAATAAGACACACACACACTTTAAAAAATATTAATTAAAAAATAAAACTAATGAACACAACATTTAGAATTATGTTAATAAGTGCACAAATTTTAATTTTAATTTTAATTAAGTAGCAAACTTATCATGATTATTATTATTATTAATATTTTCTTTTTTCATATTCGAACGAGAACGTACCTAAATAAAATTAGTTAAAACAAATTTACTCAGGTTATGAAATAACAACAATTTTTTTTTTTTTTCCCCGATTTTCATTAAAACAATTTTTAAAAAAAAGGCA